ATATATATATATATTTAATATATATATATATATATATATATATATGTATGTACGTACGTATGTATGTATGTATGTATGTATGTATGTATGTATGTATGTATGTATGTATGTATGTATGTATGTATGTACATAACCTTCGAGTAATAACAATATTCCATAGCTTTTGCTTTCTTATCTACCTGATAGTTTACGTAAATAATTTTAACGGAAAAAATCGTTGCCAATTCCTTGTAAAAGATATTTTACACAAAATTGGCAGCTTTTAATATTTGCGCTTATTATAATATTTCAATCCTTCCGTAATCTTTCTACAAATGACAAGATTATTAACAGCGAATAAGCTATTAATTGTCAAACTCGCTAGACAAATTTCAATCGTGTATCAATATTTACATTTATACAAAGAATCATATATACGTTTTTTCATGATCTTTCTCTGTTTCTTTTATCAGTTTCTATATTTTTCGTCGAAATGATTTCATTTAAATTTAGTCGTATACAATCTGTGATACAAAGTAGATATCATGTCAAAAATCAAAAACCAATCCTACATTTGGGCGTATTTTACAAAAGACATTAATAATGCAAAGAGCAAGTGCAAAATTTGTGGCAAAGTTTATAATTTACACATAGACTACAAGAATATAAAATATCATATACAGAAAAAACATAAAGGTTCTGTCCTCCCGAAAAGTATAGAACAATGGCCTTTTTCTATAATACAAAAGCAAATAGAATGTGATAATTGTGATCAGAAGTATAACATTTGCTATTGTACACCGTTTGTGACAAAAAGGCACTTAAAAAATGTGCATAATATAAATATAAAGGATCAAAACTGGTTAGAGCATTATCATTATTATTCAACAAATAATTTAATAAAGTGCACACATTGCGAAGTAACCTTTCAAAATGATATTAAACATAAGTATTTCAATGCAAAAAAACATTTAATCAATACTCATAAAATCACTGGAATATCTTTGGAATTTAGATCAACGGGGTAAGACTTATGACAATAACCTGAATATTATTATTTCATCTCTTTTGAATTATTTATATGTATTTTTGTGTAACATATGTAAAATTATACATAATAAAATCGTAAAATTTAGATATTTAACATGTTTATCATAAAGATTATGTATATTTGAATAAATTTTTTTTTTAAATTTACATATACACATATGTGTATATATATTTATATTTATATTTAGATATGATTGGGTTACAATCTAAATAGTTTATTTAATTGATATAAATACTAAAGATGTTGTTATATCAAGCAACTATCAGTCAATCTATAATTCGGATGGCAACAATTTTTTTCTATTTTGATAGAAATGTTAAAGATGTTGCTGTATCAAGCGAAAGTCAACAGCCAATGTATAGTTTGCACTATAATGTAAGCAGTTCTTCTTCAAGTTCTAGCACAAATGCTATGGATACTTCTACAACGAGCTATCCTCAACAACCTATACACGATTATCCACTTGATAATTTACATCTTGAAATGATTGAAAATATTGAAAATATTGCAAATCAACCAATACACGATTGTAATCAATTAGATTATGAGGTCGATTATTGCGCGATCGAAGATATGTTAAAATGAATAAGAAAATAGAAGAATTAATGCTTTTTGTGGATGTGAGTAATTATTTACATTGCTCTTTGATGTAACATTAAGTATAATATTATATAGGATAATACAGCATTAAATATAACAACGTAATCTAAAATTATAATTGTAATGTAATCTAGAATTTTATGAATATTTGTTTATTACCTATTTAATACCGACAAAGATATAATTTTATTTATATTTTTCATATTATTTGTATATTTATAATTTGTTAAATATGTTATACATAACATTTCTCAAAAATTACATACATCATAATCTATTACTGATTTTGATACAGCATTAAACAATATATAACATAAAATTATAATTATAATGTATAATCTATAATTTTATGAACATATTTGTTTATTACCTATATATGAAATACATGACAAACTTATAAATTTATTTATATTTTTCGTATCATTATCTATAATTTGTTGCATATGTTATATATAACATTTCTCAAATATTACATACATAATAAATCATAATCTACTACTAATTTTGAAAATTATTTTTTAAACATATTGTATGAACGAAGTTATTTAAACAGATATTGGATTTTGATTGTATCTTCAATTTTTTGACGTGTGTGATGCATTAATAGTAATAAAATAATTAATAATAAACAATTTATTCAATCTCTTCCCGAAATAAAACGATATTATTAAATATATTACATATAATATAACCTTTTAATTTATAATTATTCCAAGACATATGGATACACATAAATATATATATATATATATATATATATATATATATATACAGGGTGGGCCATTTTAAGTGATCCACTCAAATATTTCGGAAAATAATGAAAAATCAAAAAAATGTTTCAGATAAAAGTTGTATGGCTTGAAGAGGGCCATCAGATAGTGGCAATGATTTGACCTTGGAGAGTCATTTGAAGATGACGTAAAGGTAATCTTCAATTTCTTAAATGGAACTCCCTATTTTTTATTACATATTCGTGTAGCTTATCTCAAGAGCTTTCCAAAATACTATAATAAAGTATTTCTTCATTGAGTACTTTTCGAGTTATGAGGCTTGAAATCATTTCTTAATTTTGTATAAACCGTAAAATATCTAGTAAAATATTCATTTTTCGATTATCTTGCTTTAATACTTTTATGTACAAAATAATGAGAGAAATCAATTGGTGTAAAAAAACACATAGTTGTTTCAAAGAAAAAATATGTAATTGTTAATTGCAAATTACATATTTTTTCTTAAAAATAACTATGTGTCTTCAAATGACTCTCCAAGGTCAAATCATTGCCACTATCTGATGGCCCCCTTCAAGCCATACAACTTTTATCTGAAACATTTTTTTGATTTTTCATTATTTTCCGAAATATTTGAGTGGATCACTTAAAATGGCCCACCCTGTATATATATATATATATATATATATATATATATATATATAATATTACATAGCCTTCAATTAATATTCTGCAACTCTGTTTTTCTTATGAACCTAGTTTATACAAATCATTTTAACAGAAAAAAATCGTTTAATTGTTTATAAAAGATATCTTATATATTCTTATAATTCTTGATATAAATACTAAAGATGTTGTTATATCAAGCAACTATCAGTCAATCTATAATTAGGATGGCAACAATTTTTTCTATCTTGATAGAAATGCCGAAAATGTTGCTGTATCAAGCGAATATCAACAGTCAACGTATAGTTTGGATTATAATGGTTCTAGCACAAATGCTATAGATACTTGTACAACGAACGATCAAGAACCATTACACGATTGTTATTACTCTGATAATCCTATCTGTAATCTTGAAAATACTGAATCAAATAGTTCTCTGTCTCCTTCTGAATATCTATATTATATTTGCGAGATCGAGGAGATGTTAAATAAAATTGAATAAGAAAATAGAAGAATTAATTAAAAAGGTTGTCGATCTTTGTCTTTGGAGATGTTGAGTTGTCTCCATTCGTCTCCGGTTCGTCAATGATTTCGATGCCTGGAAGCATCGTCAAAATAATGAGATACCGAAGCATTTATTATTACTTTAGACGGCACACTTTGTAATTGATTCCGATATAAAAACCTTTTATTATTTTTATCACATCATCACATTTGCGCTGAAAAATAAGGTTCGCAAACTTTTGTTTGTAATTTGTTCCATACTTACTTGATTATATAATAAACTCTTATAACTGCGTTATAAGATCGACACTTGACTCGTATTGCCATTAAAACTGATTTGTTTAGTTTTATATTTTGAGTCTTATATTTTTTCATTAGAAGAATTAATGCTTTTTGTGGATGTGAGTAATTATTTACATTGCTTTTTGATGTAGCATTAAATATAATATTATATAGGATAATATGATGTAGCATTAAATATAATAATGTAACCTAAAATTATAATTGTAATGTAATCTAGAATTTTATGAATATATTTGTTTATTATCTATTTATCAATTACCGACAAAGATATAATTTTATATTTTATATTTTATATTTTATATTTATTATATATTTTATATTTATATTTTATATTATTATATTTTATATTTTTCATATTATTTGTATATTTATAATTTGTTAAATATGTTATACATAACATTTCTCATTTTATTTCCATTTTATTTCTAACATATTTAATTTTTTACGTGGAATATTGTGAGAAATCGATTTATATGGATAAATTAAGATATTTAAAAAAATTAAGTTAATCTTCATATCGCCTTAGTATTTACACTTAATGTCAAATTAATATTTCTACCTTCTTTTCTCCTTCAAACCCTACGACTTGTATTTTTGAAACACTTTTTAGCATTATTTTTGAGATATTATGATGCATTATTTTTAAAATATTACGATGTCTAAGTAGAGAATTATAAATTAAAATAGGACAATTTATATCTTTTTATATATCTATAAAATAATTATAATTATTTTATAATAATTATCATAGTTACAAATCTTTTTCGTGTAAATATCCTCGAGAGAGAATTTAAAACTTCTTATATAAAAATACAATATTCTTCCCATTCAATATCGTAAAAGAAAATTACATATAATATTCCTAGCTGTCCGTAACTTATGGTTACAGCCGGTTTAGAACCTTAATAATAAATCGTCCTGTGCGATTTTACTCGACGGAAACTTCGTTTAATTCCTTAATGCTATCTCGCGCTGAACCCCGGAAGTACAGCTGCTCGCACCGTGTTTCGATTCCCTCGCCGGAAATTCTCACGCGACACAACTAACAATATCAGAGAACGATCTCAAGCCCGGCAACTCGGTGTTTGCTTGTGCATAGGCTATTAGGCTAGACTGTCCGACGACTATTAGCGGCCACCGCGAGGAATTAATTAATCCTTTCATTAAAGCCGCTGCGGAAGACCACACGGATGCCGACTGCCTGATCGTGGTCGCAATGTCACACGGCGAGTCGGGTCTACTACATTCAACCGATAGTCTGTATCCAGTCGATATGCTGTGGACACCCTTCACCGGCGATCGATGCTCCACTTTGGCCGGGAAACCAAAGTTGTTCTTCATTCAGGTATATCTACCTCTGACAGATATTTATATATATATATATATATATATATATATATATACACACACACACACACACACATATAAATCGCGAATGAATCGTGGAAAATGCGCGAACAATGATGAGCCGCTCATTCAAAGAGAAGCAACTCTCCACTTTCGTTCATCCTCGAACGATCTCGTCCGATGATGGATCATCTCAAAGTGAATCGTCCAAGCGATGTTATATGCTGAGTAATTCGAGGGAGATTTATACAGATCGCGTGGAGGGTGATTTATGAGTTAATATAAGCTACTGTACAAGCTGGTGTTTGTTCAAGTTAATCGTACCCTTCAAATAGGCGCGGTTTCGTACTTGAATATCTCCTCCGGTAGTTCACTGCTGTCGATATCTCGCAAAATTCGAATCGCTTTATCCTTGTAAATATTTTTGTTCAAATTTATACTTGCAAAAATTATATTTATTATGATAATTGGGGAGATTCATGATAAGTGTGCCAAGGAACTTGAATATTTTTCATGCGACTCAAAGTCGTTTATCTACTTCGGATAAAGCGGAATCGTGTAGACTGATTTTTATGATTCTTGCATTGTCCGCGTTTACGTTTCGCGAAATTCCGGCCATATTTTAACGATATTGCCACTAGTGAAACGAGCGAGACGGAAGAGGAAGAGAGAAAAAAATAATTACGTTTTCCGGTTGGAAATTTTGATATACGATATTCTTGCGCGACGGATATAAATTCAGTTAGCCAGAAATGCAATTGCAGATCCTGCACGCTTAAAATATAACGATAAGAAAAATATCCATATCGGTTGTCCTGATCGGGAAAACAAAAACAATTATATTATGTTTTACGAAATGTACTATAGTATAGTAGAGAAACATATAGCAAACACTCTCGCTATTTATTTTATTCTTTTTTTTAAATGTCAACATGTTTTGATTAGAATTATAACAATTATAGCTACAATTGATTATACAGGGTGTTTCTTAATAAATGCAAAAAATTTTAAGAAATAATTCTTTGTCGAAAATTAAGGGGGCTTTTTCATATAAACATATACTCCTATATCCCTCCCTGTACATTTGCATTTGATGCAAAAATAAAAACCTAATTTTTATCTCCAAAAATGGGGATAAAAATTAGGTTTTTATTTTTTTCCCAAATTTGAAACAAGTTAAAGAAATGAAATTAGGTGGATATTTTCTAGTAAAAGGTTATTTATTAATATTTTTTCAGCTTCCCGTATTGTTATAAGGGAAACTAACAAATTTCCCCTATTCAATTTTTATTAGAACTTTTTAATGAGCTGGAATATGATCATCTAATAATATGCATTAAACAGATTGATTTATTTAGAAACGTTTTGATTTGTTTTATTTTTTCATAAAATCAGTAGTTTTCAAGAAAAAAATATATATATTATCGTGCTAAATAGCATAGGTTTCGAATTACGAGAAGTTAAATTTTAAAATAAAAATAAAATTAGAGTAAATATTGGGAAAATTGGAACAAAAGCAAAATTATAAAAAGCCTAAAAACCTAATTTTTACCCCCATTTTTGGAGGAGTGTAACAGGAAGGGATATAGGAATATATATATTTATATGAAAAATCTTCCTTAATTTTCGGTAAAAAATCATGCCCTAAAATTTTTCGCACTTATTAAGAAACACCTTATATTTAATACTTTTACTATATTTGTTACATTCTTCGACTATTTGAATGATATTTCGATAAGATTGCATTTCCTTGTCTCTCTGCAAATTATGTAAGAGATTTTTATAATCTATTATTACAATATTCATTCTCTATCGTATTTATCATCAATTTCTGCGCGCGGCAAACTTTTTCTTCTGAATTTCTCTAATTACGTGAGATGGGAATAGATGACATCGTAAAATAGATGATACGAAAATGGATGGCCGGTGCATAAAGAAAGTTAACTATAAATACAACGCTCTCGCTTCCTGCTCGCCGCGTCGCGTCGCAACGAGAATAGCGCAATTGCGGCGATCCGTAATCTGTGTGTCTCGAAAAGAAATGATTAAGTCGACGGTGTAGCCGCGCACATAATTCCAGTAACAATGCCGGGCTAGATCTAATTCTTTCTCGGCCGCGCAATCCTGCCCGGAGATCGTTTTCCATTTAGAGACACTTCCCATTTATCTGCCTCACGACGATCTCCGAGGGATTTGCGGACTCCTGCACATTAGTGCACCGTCGGGTTTTTAGCGGCCGCGGCCAATAAAATATGTGCATTCTGCAATGTAATGGAAGCTGTTCGCGCGCGCTCCAGGACGCCGCAGTAATTAAGATTACTCCCCCGCGAGCCCCCCTCCCGCCCTACTCCTCCCCCTCCCCCCCGCTCGCCCGCGTCACGCAGCCGGTCGAAAGGGAACGACGGCAAAAAACTGTTATTTGCATAATTCCCAAAGTAATGCACGCGTGCATCGCTTCGAGGATTTCGCGCCGCCGCGCCGGATGAATTAAAAAAATGGCGGCCGACAATTTGCGTCGCGCAATATTCCACGTATTTTTTGTTTTGTACACGTTTCTTTTTGTTGTTTTTCCCCGGTCCACGATTACATTTCCATCACGATCTTTTCCCGCATCGCGCGAGCTGTACATTTTTTTTTTTTTCCACGTCGCTCCCCGAATACACTGACAAATTTAATCGGACACATTCGGAAAAAAAAACACGCGTTCCTGCAGATACGTCATTATCGCGCGAGACAATTGTATATGCGCGCATACATATTCAAGTAAGGGAGGATACAAACAATTTCGCGTAATCTCGCTATGGTACATAAACTATAATTTTATACGGTCCCGTTTTTTCCCTGCCAATTTATTACCGATCGTTACATTTACAATTTCACAGTGAGAATTACACACAAATTTAATTATTAACTGCCGCAATAGAGATGAAGGATGACCGCGATAAAAATATTTCATACTTTATCGGAGAGGAAATTTTTCCGTTGTTTTTAAAATCAGAGAGAGAGAGAGAGAAGGAATTGAAAATTTAGACTTAAGATTACATCGTAGTTTTAGATCGTTAAAAATCTCCCATCGGTGTATCGAGCAATCGCAGAGATAGCAGCCTTCCGACAACGATTGTAATTTACTCTGCACGAAAGAAAAAGGATCGGAAAAAGCCAGCTAACTGGCCGGTTACCCTTTCGAAATTACCGCTTTCGTCCCAAATAGAGTCAGAGAATCGATGATCCCAAAGATAAAGTGCGACAAAGATAAACGAGCACGATAAAGTTAGCGTTCGATATGATTAGTAATTTAATCTCGTCTTCCAATGCGTTTGAAAAAAAAATATCCGCTTCAAAAATTTAAAAATCTAATAATTCACGTGACTCGATCGTGCATCTCTTAGAGACTCGTGCGAAAATATCGAGTAAAATATAGAAAAATAATACGTATTCTCTCGCAACATGCAAACATTTAATTAATTCACGTCTATGTAAACTCTGATATTTAATAAAAGACCAAGTGCAATAAAAATAACGAATACGATAAAGTTAGTATTTGTAACGATCGATGTGACTAGTAACTCTATCTCGTATCTTCAAACGCGTTCAAAAAAAAAGTCCATTTTGAAAACAAGATAAAATAATTCACACGACTCAATCATGCATCTCCTGGAGACTCGAAAATATCGAATAAAATGCAGAAAAAAAATACGCATTCTCTCGCAATATTTGCAGATACGATCGATCGTGACTAGTAATTTCATCTGGTGTCTTCCAATGCGTTTAAAAAAGAAACGTCCGCTTCGAAAATTTCAAAAAAATAATAATTCACATCATTCGATCGCGCATCGCTTAGAGAGCCGTGCGACGAAAAAAAAATACGTATTCTCTCGCAACATGCAGAAATTTAACTAATTCATGTCTATGTAAACGCTGTTATTTGTAATGAAGGGTAATTACATGCATCAATGATATATTCGATACCAAGTGAAATTTTAACGATGCAAATTATGCGAGGTTATCGTGATTTGCAAGCGACGTTGCAATTGAGCGGATGCAAATATCCGCTATATCCACGTATCAAAATCAGTGCCAATTTCTGACCACTTGAAAGCTGCGTGCAGTCACGATATCCTCCAATACGTGCATCCTATTCTTTGATAACTTGATATTTATATCTCTTCCGCACCGTCTTTCGTTAACGACGTTCTTGACATGCGTGTAATTGTCTCGTATGTTTCACTACTAATTTACCGGTTAAAAATCGGTTAAACTAATTTACCGGTTAAAAAATGTTCGAAAACGCGACTTTTATTGGTCATTAAACTCTTACAATTAATCTTTCGATACATCAAATGATCATTACGTGCTCCTCTTAAAAGTGAAAATAATTCCCGAGCTTTATCGAGAATACGAACGAGATCCGTTGGATTGTTTTGTTATCATTAATAGTAGTGTGAATTATTATTATTCATAATATGAAATGTATATATACGATGAATTTCTCTGCAATGTATAATATAATCAGAAATAAACCTCTTACGGAATTTACGTTTGAATATTGTGTTACGCAAAACAAAAGCTGCAGTTTTTCATGAGCAACATTCGTCCATGTACGTTACAAAAATTAATTGCGCGAATAAGGATTTATTAATGTTGCATTGTGTGTGATAGGGAAGGCAACGTAAAAAAAATATTAAAATCGATAAATCTATACAATTTGTTATGTTTGCCAATTATATTTGCATGTAGAGATCGAGTATTACCGGGCAAATATCGGGCAAAGTTAAACAATTGCAATAATCAGATTTCGTGTTTACGTAAATGTGCACGAATAAATTGATAACGGTTCGCATATCGATTTTTTGTAAATCGTAAGAATTTACAGCGCACAAAATTTAGAGCGTGTAAAAAATGTTAAAACCCAACAATTTGTCATATTTGCCAATTATGTTTGCGATTGCACGGGATTGAGTATTAGCGGCCAAATATCGGGCAGAGTTAAACAATTGTAATAACCAGATATCATATTTACGTGAATGTATACGAACAAGCTGATAACTCGCGTATCGATTTTTGGTAAAAATTTACAGCGCGTGAAATTTACAGCGCGTCGTATAAATAATCACTCGATTGAACTACGCGAAAATAAATATTGGGGAAATAAAATGGTCGAGGTACTCGCGGGATCCTTTAAATATTGACTCGTTAATCGCGACTCTATGACGCAAAGTTTTGCACACTTTGCACGCTTCGTTACCGCAATGTTTCAAATAATGTTCCAAATTGACGGCGGGAAAAAAGGCGCTTTGAAGTGTTTCAAACAAATCGCGGTGGATACGTTCTCGTGGAGAAAACCTCGTCGGAGAAAGCACGATCCCATGAATCTTTTATGCGCCGAGAAAATCTACTATCACGCGCGTTTTTCTTTCCCGCAGGCTTGCCGCGGGTCGCAACTGGACAAAGGGGTGAAAATTATTCATGAGACGGACAGCAAGAAGACCACGTACAGCATACCCGCCTATGCGGATATCATGGTTGCGTATTCTACTTATGACGGTACGTATATACGTGTAATACACAGGTATAATGGTGCATGTACGGAAGGAAGTATTTCGGAATATTCTTGATTGCATCAAAGTTTGAAGCAACTTTTTAATGGTTTGGAATTTTTGCAGGATTATATCCCACCGTTTTATTCTTTAAAAAGATCCCCTTTTAACGCTGCTTTTTATTCTTTTATTTCTACCTTGAAGTTGGAACGACAATTCTGAGACACTCTGTAGGTACGCGCGAACTAGATGTTGTCGCGTACAAGTAAGCTCCTTTATTCAAGACGGTGCCAGAGATAATGCAGGGAATCTGAATGAAAGAGACGCTTCTCCGAGAATAGTATAAAGCAGAATTATAGGAATGTCGGATATATGATGTCGGGGCTCTTGATTATTCGCGCGTGGATAATTCGGTTGGCGACTGTATGCTTCCCGACATGATTTTTTATTTAATTTACTGAAATAAGGAAAGCTTAAAGTATTAAAACTTGTTGGAATAAATAAAAGATTAAGCAATAAATATTAAAATTAAACGTTAATATTTTGTCATAGCTGCTTCTTATGTTGTAAAATAATAAATTCTTCGTGGAAATCATGAATAGAAGCATAAAGGAGTGTCGATAATATTAATCAAGACTATGATTGAAAAGAATAAAGCGACGATTACCGCTTGAACAAAGGCTACGTAAATAATGAAGGGCCTCGCATATGGCGTTCGTTAATGAGGATGTTTACTCAGATTTCAAGCCTTTAGGTAACCATCATTAGCACATATAACGCAGGCCTGCATTTGCAAGAATATATCAAATAATGTTGATAAATCAAAAATATCGTCAAATTTATTCGTGTATAAAACGGAAAATAATTCAAACTGTCAAATTCGTCAACATATCTAATAAAAAAATCTCTCCTCTAGCGGAATTTTGCTTCGAAAATCAACCAGATTTATTAGAAAATATTAATCCTCTATTTCATAAAAATATACAAAATTGTTCAAGATTCAAATAATTAAATTTTAATGTCAAAAAGTTATTCTTCGTTGAATCTTTGTTGAGATTCGCCAAGAAATCTATCTTCAAATTTGATACGTTACATCGTGAAGACACATCTTAAGCATATCTATCACGTATCATTTTCATTTTTATAATTCTTACCGCGCTTATTCACTGAGAGGCCTTTCCAAAACGGTTGCATAGCATTAGAAATCTCGGGGGATAATTGCATTGAAATCGCGTTTCAATGCATGCCAGTTTTCACACTCCGTCGAGCGTAAGATATCAGATATATTAACGAGATATGTATCCTCGATTTCTGAACAATAAACGGATATGGCGAATGCGAGTTAAGCGGTTCTTCTTGTACGCATCCGTTTCTACGTGTTTCTATAGCGTTTCGTAAGCTGCTTATTTCTGAATAATGCAGATTACGCGGACGCGTGATGCATAGATAATCTATGTCAATTTCTCAATTACACCCCCTCCCCCTCCCCCGACTAAAACTCGTTAATGAATGTAAACTAATGTAAACTAATATTATTTACAACACAATGCCAATCCCCCTTCCCAGCCGCGAAATTTCCAATTATTATACCAATTATTATGCGCTCTCCCTTCCTCCAAAGCCCGTTTGATGTTCGCTTCGCATAGTTTATAATTCGAACGCAATTCCAGGATTTCCAAAGACGAATTTTCGATTAAGTACGAAAAGAAGAGTAATCTCACGTACTAGATTTCAACAAGATCGAAGACGGTTACTTTCGAAATCATCCAATCAAGTGCGAAAAAAATGTCCGAAACGCGATTTGTTAAGCGAGTGTCGACGACAGTAGCGGCGTATAATGCTACGCGCACATTTTCACGCGATTTCCGCTTGCGTGCAAACATTTGACCTGTAGTTGCTAATGGAGTGCGAGAATTTGTGTTGACAGTGGTGCACGTCGATGGTACAACAGCCTGACATTCTCGAACGCGAGGACGTCAATCAGTCAGCTGATAAATCGATACATGCACGTAATACGCATACTAGAGAATCGAGCCACATCCAATGTATGCATATAATCCAAATATGATTACAACAACTCATTTTTCAAGATTTTATTTAAGATTTCCCCGCTCCGTTATCTTTATGTAGAATCGAGTTCCCTCCTCGCGAAGGTTATCGTGCGTACGAAAATTGCTTCAATATATAAGCAAATTTTTAAATAATCTCTCTCTCTATCTCTAAATTTTAAAAAAATTCTTAATTTAAAATTTATAAAATTTTAAATAATTCTAAATATATTAATGTTGTATTAAGATAAAATCGATTTAATAAAACAAATACTGCGTGAAACTATGATCTTTCTTCTTATTTGTTTTCTAATATTTTTGTACCGAAAGAAGAGATCTACATAAATTTAAAGCAAAGCTACAAGTGAATCTACAAGAAATAAATCCTTAATATATCTGAAACAATGAAATTTCTCAACGATTGCGTTCTCGAAACCACGCAGCTGTTGCTATATAAAATATGTAGAAAGCATTGTGCAATGAATCGAAATAAACCACGAATTGCTTTGCGAGCATATTTATGGTCTACGTTTCGATAGGAAAAAATTTTTAAGTTTTTGTAAAACATTGAAGTGAAATATAAAATGGTATCGATATTGACAATTTATTACTGCATTTATATTATTATTATTATTATTATTATTGTCACCAGTAAAAAAGATATTCAAATAAAAATGAGCTATCATGTTGAGATTATCTGAGATATCAATATGAAATAAATATCGTCATTTTTGCAGAGACAAGAACATCTCTCAAACTGGATACCCAAGCTCGTTCAAGCGGCTATTTTAATGCCATTCTATTTGTAGCCAAATTTCATGTGTATTTTTTTGCCTTTCTTTCATCACGATTCATGTGCAAAACAGCAAATCTCCCGTTTTTCTCTTCAATTTTATATCCTTTTCAATGTTATATTTATTAACTGGCCAACAAAAATATTGCAAATAAATCTGTTCTAAATCTCAATTAATTCTCTAGTCAATTTTTGCAATTATTTGTCAACCAAAAGGTGCGACTCATGTAATACAATTTATTACATTATTTATAGATTTACCGATAGATAAAATAGATTGATTTCGGTATAAAAAATATAATATATATTATACAAATAATTTTGTGTATTTTTAAATTGTTGAATACTATAGTAATATTTTTATGTTTATGTCTAAAGTAAGGAAAAAAGTGAGGAAATGATAAAAATCCATCTTAAGGAGTCGAAATAAGTCCTGTCGCTAATCATTAAAAAGGTTTATTCGCTTTAAAATTTCAATCATTTTTTCACGACTTGAGGCAAATAAAAATACTACTATTCAGCGATTTAAAAAAAAGATTACATGTAATACATAATTATATACTTTTTACATGTATATATGCATTATATATTATTTTAAAAATTAGACGTCGCAAGAGATGATCATAAACGCAACTTGGACGCGATAACTGTGCAAACTTTGCAAATCTGACGCAGATATTAACAATATGAATGAGTACGAAAGAAAAATATTGCAAATTGAGATTCGTCTAAATTCAGAATCGAATGGTGCGGACAATTGCAGTAGCGCTGATTTATTGCGAGCAGCAGCCCGGCAATTCGCGAATAAAGAAACAAAAGAACAAAAGGAATACAGGAACGCGGCAAACCAATGCAGGTTAGCAGATTGTTGGACAATTTGGAGAATTTCGCGTAGCAACAAAGCATACCGCGCCATGTGAATTGTGCGAAATTGAATTAATGAAAAATACCTGTCGATTGTCAACGAACTCCGTCAAAATTATCGCACTGATATCAAAGCACGTCGTATCGTATCTCAAACTTAATATAAAACCTTTTATATACTTTTTTTATACGATATACCTCTTCTACATGTGTTCATATCGTGTGATGTTAACGTAATAAACAAAAGCTATTAAAAGCATGTTTGTTCCATTAAATTCCATCATTTAATTTTAAATTAAATTTCAAAGTGTCGTAAAAGTCACTTCACGTACACAAAACACACATTCATATATCAAAATAACAACAATTTCGCTTTGAGGTCGGATTTAATATAACCATGAGAAGTAGTTTACTTCCGAAAATAAGCCGCAAAATTTATCTCAAAATTTACTATTGCCAACTTTGCTCGTGATATCCGCCGCACCAATTAAGAAATGTAAATAGAATTTGTGTATAATACATGTGTATTTTACGGAATGATATTTGCGGATATATATCCTATCCATCACACAAGCTCAATAAACAGAATTTATTTGCAAAACAGAAAATATATGCATACCTGATATAACAGTTCATGTAGCATTTCCTCTAATGCAATTTTATATCCGTCGTACAATCAGGACATGCCGATATTAACGGATTAATTTCCAGATTAAGTTGAGTACGAATAAATAAAATACGTAAAATAATTTTTCAACATACATATTTATTTCACAGAATGTAACGATTATTACGCATATATTACGCATAATTTTTTCTTTAAAATTTTTCGTTAAAATTTAAACATCAGATTTTAAAAAAAAGTGAAAAAAATTATGCGTTAATTTTATCCAGGATACGTACTAATATTACGTGATAGATTTATATAAAAATCTCTTTTTTTTCTTTTTTTTTTCAATATTAATAACTCCTGGTGTAAATCGGTAAATAATTTTAAAAATTATTTCAGAAAAATCGTCTTCGTCAGAAAAGTCACTTCTGTCTTTGATAACAATTACGCGATGATAAATGCACATGAATAATTCTCTCTAATCCCTCACAAGGAAGAAAATTACGTATTTATGTACACATATATGCGTGTTATTGTAATATACGTATGTGTTGTCCAACAGGAAGTACATATATTATTAATAATAATAGGGATAATACTCTCTGAATTTGCGAATAACTGGTCCGAGGCTAAAGGCATCGTTAATATACCATGTAGGAGATAAGGGCATAGTTAACATACCGATAACGATAGGAGGGGAGACGTGTATTTAACACTTTGCTATACGGGAACATACGGGAAATACATCATCAAGTACGTGTATGTCCGGTTAACATCAATTTTACATCGTTGCGCTCAAGATTCTCGCAAACTGCTGAAGTAATCGATAATTATACTTTGTAAGCGAGAGGTTACGTTGATTAAAAAATTGTTCTCGTCGATGCATTATCATGATATAAAAAGTTTACGTTCTTTTTTGCTTCTAATTGCAATTTTAACACTTGATATATATTTTTGGAATTTTCAAGTTTTTAATTAAATAATACTATTAAAGTAAAATCCGCTTATAATTGAGTGCGAAATAATATTTCCTTATCAAATTGGATATCTGAAAATTAATTAACACATTTTTATTTTCATCCATTTAATATGCTTAAATTTTAACAATAGTTGCCAGTTAGATTTTCACGTTGGAGAGGAGAGAATAGACTTTGTATATTAATAATAAAATTCACAAGGTGAAAATAACCGCGGCAAGAATCTAGCGCACGTTGTACACGCCATTTAAGGAGAACACGTTGTCAGAATATATCAAGAAATCGATTTCTCTTACATATTCTCGAATAGTAAGCAGATGCAAATATAGTTTTTGCCTATTCTAACAACGTGTTCTTCTTATAAGACACCTCGATCGTACAACTTACTGCCTTTAATGCTACGCGCAACGAATTTCGAATCGTTACAATATTTAATCTTGCTTGTAACTGTTCAATTATTACGATTTATAACAACAACGTGAGATGTATCGGAGTTTATTTATTACATCGTACAATTTAAGAGCGTCCTCGACCGAAGAATCGATGATGAAATGCGACTTAAGTAGCTTTCAACATCTTTGCGAGGAAATCAAATCGATAATAAAGAAGCGCGCTTAAAATTGATGATAAGCTTTTGGAGCAAAAGCAAGATAAAAGCGAAATAATTGAACCGTTTTCGATGCAGCAGAGTCCTGCACATCTCTAATGTATGCAAAGTAATCCTAGATCAGACAATCGAAGCTAGTGCAATTCCATTCTATACGTAATACACATGGAGAGGAAATACTCTGATCTGATCTGAACTAATAGATTGAACATTCATCAGTGGGGATGAGAGCGGATCTAAAGATAAAATGAGCAAGTAAGCGATATCAAAAATTATTATTCCTAGTGACCTATTTTAGGCGTCGCGCGTTTAATCCGCTTGGATTACGATTCGAACTGAAAATTTGAAACCTGTAATTATGTTTCCGCTCTGATGACTCTACATCGTTATCAAAACCGCTATTTAAAGCGATATAGATATTGAATATTAAGTTTGTACGCATTTTCAAGCGATTAAAATCGAATAAACGAGCTCGACAAATAAAGAGAGAGTAGCAATTGTTTAATATAAAAAAATATTAATTTCCTTTTTTTAATAATATTTTTTTCAATATTAATTAAATATCTCCTTCATAAAGGATATCATATTCTATGTCGTATTCTATCTTTGCCAAGTTGCTTCACTTAATTCTCGTCGTCCATTAAGCGAGGCCTAAAACAGGATGTCATGTAAATGTAGGATACGCGGCTTTCCTAAGAAGTTTAAGTGCTACACCGGAGTAACTTCGTAATTTCAGGTTAAAATATACCTGTTTCGTGCAACACAATTAGCGCGGAGTACGCTGTTGCTCGTGTATATGCGTGAAAGTTGAAATTAATCTAAACTTATTGCCCTGGTAGAGGTCGCAACTTTTTATTAGGGACAGGGTTAACTCGAAGTCGCAATAAATCTGCGATACGAATTATTTGACTCTATAAACTTCAATTAATTCACACAAAGTTATTAAGCTTTAGAAAAGCAAGTATTACACACACCTGCGAAAAATTGTTTTTTAAGATATAATAGTGATTTTTAACATAATTTTGTGCGCTGAAGTAGTTGAATAGTCTAAAAATCGCTGTTTTGGCCAATTTCATGAATTTATTGTGAGTAAACCAAATTTTTTGAAATATTTTTGTCAATGGCATCGTATAATACTTACTTTCATCTTTCGAATCCCTTTTCGATTACCGCTGCATTTTTTTTTTGCTCAGATACAAGTTATAAGACTGGTCATGCATAAGAATCCAATAAGCCATTCTAAATCAACTTCTCTATCTCACTACGAGTCAAAATTAGGGTAAAAATATATATTTACCTTCTGTCACCTTTTGAAATTAAAAATGGCGCATCCAATATGGCGAATGGAATCACAATAAAAAGGCATAAAATTTAGAAAAATTTATCAAAATGTGTAACAACTGTATTAGACATTTCTTTACAATACTTTTTTGGCCAACCGAACTTGACATATGTCAGTCTTTCCAAATTTCAAGATCACGGATCTACCATATTGATGTCTATATAAATTTTCTTTCACGTAAATTTTCTTACAACTTCATATTTATATATCTCAGCGAAAAAAAATCGTGCGGCGATAATAAAAAATGGATTTGAAAGGCGAAAGTATTATACGATGCCACTGGCAGAAATATTTCAAAAAATTTGGTTTCCCACAATAAATTCATGAAATTGGCCAAAATAACGATTTTTGAGCCATTCAATTACAAATTATTCAAAAACATGACGTGCTACGCAAATTCGGCGACCAGATTCGGATTCAGCGTACAAAATTACGTCGGAAATCACTAAAAAAAAAACCTCGCAGGCCTGTGTTATTAAAATTCGCCTTTAATTGTATAGATCACATATTGCAGAGAGAGAGATTTCAATTTTTCACAAGATTTCAATTTTTTTTCCGCAAAAATGAGATCGAAAGACCGGAAATTTTTGCTGAAAATTGCATCTAGATATTTAACGTGAAATTTAAAAAGAAAAATATGTCATGTATATCAATACGTTAATAACATTGTGTGTTAACTTATATACACGATATATACATTTTGCCTCTAAGGTATTAAATTTCTCCTGTCTCACATTACCTTCCTTCTCTTTTACACGGGGTCATGGGTCATTCGCTGGTGCATCCACCTTATCGAGAGCTCGACCATCCAAGAAGTATCGTCTACGTCTCGCGAAGTGTATCTCATTACGTACTGCAAGCCGATAGTAATCCACTATCCGACCTGTGAGTAAACCGCGCGTTTCTTTCAGGTTTTTTCTCCTGGCGTAACCCGGACGTGGGCTCCTGGTTCATACAAGCGCTCTGCGAGGAACTGGATCTTCATGGACGTAAACACGATCTACTCAGCCTAATGACCTCCGTGAACCGTCGCGTCGCCATCGAGTATCAATCGTACGTACCGCAGAACGAGAAATTTCACGGAAAGAAGCAGATCCCGTCGATTGTGTCGATGTTGACCCGGCTCGTGTATTTTTCCGATAAGTGTGCATCGATACCGGACGATCCCGACGACGACGTATCGGGAGGAAGGAAGTCACAGGTTTGCGAAAAAAGAACGTAAAGCACGAAGGAACGTTCGCGTTTCTCGAAAGCGAGGAAGAATGATGGATTCTCCGTCAGAAACTGACAAATTGATTTCAATTATTTCCATGCATCAAATTTGAAAAATGATCGTACATCTCCGAGTGACTCATCAAATACGTTTATATCTTCCTGCGATCAAGCATATATATAGTCGAAATTTTGCTCCTATTTTCAATCTCATTTTTTTCACGCTTATGACTTTTACAAGATTTCGATATGTTGCATTTTTATAGAAATTATAATCTTCTATTTTTACCTCAAATAAGTAACAGACAACAATTTCGAAGATGGAGAATTAAAAGAAAAGCTCGGCCAGCAAAGCATGAATTAAATAATTTCAAAAGAAAGAAATCTGATTATTTAAGGAAGTTTAGATACATTAAAAATTGAGATCGAAAGTAGGAGAAAAATTTCAACGATATGATATGTTTAAAGAAATAAATTATCCATTTAGATAAAAGAGATACAGATTTGTAAGGGTGTTTTTAAGTGTATCACTTCATCCTTATTGATTGTCGAATGTAAACAAGGATGATTCATTGTATCCTCCGTGTCGCTTACTGAAAAACCTAACTTTCTATTGTTATTTTATTCAGGCAAGATAAAACAGCGAATATATTGAGACATCTATACTGCCATTATATTTAAATACTGTTCATTGAGATTATCTCTTGTTTGAAATACGAAGTTTGATTTTAAAATTGGTTATTAGTAACATATCTATTTAATATTTAATATTATCAATGTACATTGTTAGAGAATATTCTACCTATTACAACTGTTATCATTAAACCAAAATAGCAAACCAAACAGAAATATATTATAGGATTGTCTAATATCTGGAAAATGCTTATTTAGTGCTCTGTGCGTTTATTGTACAATTGATTTGGTAAATAAATTATGCAATATCACGTAAAGAGCATAATGTTGATAATGTTTGGCAGAGAAAAATAAATCATCAACACGTTAAGCGATACGCCACAAATTATTGTCATAATTAGATTCACTGTACTATTCCGAATTAATATGTTAATTACATCTGGGCTTCTGGGAGCGATAAAGGCTGTTATCATAATAACCAAGAATAATAATAATTGACGTTCTGCCCAGTTTCACTAAATTCGCTCCGATTATGTATCGACTATAACCGGATAAAATAATAAACAAATTTCGTTCTAGTACGAGATAATGATTGAAGTTTTCCAAATTAATTTACACATTCGTTGCAACGTCTCTAAATTTTCTGTAAGACGGATTACACGAGAGGAAAATTTCTCGAAACCGTCCTGAACATAACAACGCTGAACGGGAGCCTCGAGAGTTTATTAAGAGAAATCAGCGAAGATTAATTATATCTCCATACCGGCGGTGCATCAACGGTAGATCCATTAAACGCAATGCGTGCGATTGCGATGGTATGTTCAACGTTGGATTAGATATGTGTGGTCAAAGGAATTAGACGCACGTATAGACTACGTATATGCTATTAACCTTTGTCTTAGAAGTGGAGAATCCACGAATTATGCCGTTAACTGGATGCGAATTATCGCGAACTGCAATCTCCTTCGCATGCACGAATAGATCGATCTACAACGATAATGCAGACAACTTCTATTGCGGAAATCGCGGCTTAATCGCGTTGTTACACATGTCTAACGCCGTAAACGCTTAAATAAAAATCACAAGTAAGAATGAGTATAAATGGCCGTGCATAAGTATACGAAACATATCGTGATTTTTTTTTATCAAATTGAAACATTTCCACTTTTCAAAATTATATACTTTTGACTTTTCATATAATATCTCGTGCTTCGTTTATTTTTAAAAATTCAATGTTGTGAGATAAGAATTTTAAAAATATTATAAAAGTTGATGCATTGCGTTGCGATTGATTTGCCGTATGTAATTAGATTCATAACGTTTCAATATATCAGTTGCAAATAATAAATCTGGAAAAAGGTAAAATCTCTTGCTTCATTTTATATTTATAATTTTTTCTGTAAAATATAGATTTATGCTACTAATTAGCAATTAACAGTATTATAAATTAAAGTGCACAAAAAAGAAGATGAAAATAAGCGCAAAAGAAAAGAAGATTATATCCTTGAACTGCAGATATTATAAAAGAACATCAAATCAGGTAATGTTAACTCGTAGAAATTACCTATTATTTTTTAACCAAAATACAATATATAATCATTTAATTTAATTCTTTTTCTACATTATTGTTATATATTTTCAATGGGTTATCATATTTTTCGTTATTTGCATTTTACATGTATGGGTTTAATCATTTTCCTGAAATAACAGGCCGTAAAATAATCGCGTGATATTAATACATAATTAAAATATTTTTGATAATCGATACAAAATCAGATTTTTCTCTTTTTCTTTCCTTGTTTTTTTTAAATTTAGATTTAAAATGAAAAATTTAAGAAAATAATAAAATAAAATATTTAGAAAATAATAAAATAATTTAACAAATATTTGTCTCTTGAAAAAAATGATTAACAATATACATGTAAAACAATTCGCGCGAAATAAAATAATATTTTTATTTTTCTTCTCCTGAAATATAAAATATACTTCAACGTATTTTTTTCTAAATATAATATTTTTAGAAATATAATTTATCATGGATCTAAAAAAATATTGCTCGCAATTTCAAACCTTCGATCGGAACGCATTTCACGTATAAGCGTAAAAACACTGTGAAGCGAAGCACAAACGATAAGAAGACGATTCAATCACTGACGCGAAAAGGGTCCAGCTGTCGAAGGAATTCTTCGAGCCGTTTTGACTTTCCGGACTGGCAGTTCGAGCGATTGCGAATCGACCTTATCTCCTCAGGCTGCTAAGTGAGGCTCTTGAGGAAACGAGCGCTCGAAACTGCGCGGATGGCTTGCCTCAAACACGATCAAAGGATTTCGGTTTTCGTGAAAGCCTCTCCTTCATCTCTTTATCGACGCTTGTGAAGTATACACCACGTAAAGTAGAAGTGTGCTGGTACTCGATTGATCGCGTCGTTGTTATACGATCGATATAGATGCATCCAAGGGTTGCACTTTGTAGATGGGATACAAGTTTGCATGCAAACGACAACATCGCTTTTTTATATTTTCAGGTGTTCGATATTTTAGCTTATTCACTGCCGGACGACATTAAGCCTTCTCTCGCATATATCGTCAAATGTCAACTCTTCCTATGGCTTTTTCGCGTGCGAGATGTCGACTTTCGTTTACCGCAAACAATGCTCTGACATATTTTTTTAACCCGGCAACCGTTGCATTTTGTAATCTTATAAATCACGCGAGATCTCTCTCTGAAAATGTATGTTTTACGGATAAAATATATGAATTTATTATACTTGTTTCTCTTCACCGAATTCCATAATTCTTAGATATTTAAAAAGAAAAGAATGTTTTTTTTCACACAAAGCCAAATATCCTGATTTTAATAAAATACCGTAGACCCCAATAAATGAAGTTATCTAAATTTCTATTTGATAAAATTATATAACTAACTATCAATTAAGTAAAAAATTTTTCACGACAAATTATAACCTGTGGTGAAGTGTTGCAGGTGGTACAGTATTTTATCTTCGAAACGAGTTTCAACTCGATACGGTTAAAAGTAATAAATCAATTCTATACATATATATATATATATATATATATATATATATATATACACAGATGGGCGACTATATTGTCTCGTTATATACTACACGAAAAGATAAGTTACAAGATGTTGCACTATGTGTGCAACACGCGCGGCTGCTGACGACATAATTTTAGAAACTTTCGCAATACAAGAGGGTTAATCCGCTCCCATCCTCGGGAAAATCGAGAAATCGTGATCGAGAAACTGCACCGTGTTCTTATGGCTAATCACCCTTTTGCCGCGGCACAATCTGCACTGTACATCCGCTGTAATTCCGGAAAATGAAAGCAACATGGCGAAGCATTCCAAGACAGGAGTAAACTAAGGTACCATTCATCTTAATCCTATTTACAACCCCTGTTGGTGCGCTAAATTCTACTCCGCTCGCACTCGCAGATATTACTATTTCGGTTTTGTCTCGATCGAGAGTGCCATTTCTCTCGAGCTCTACGAGGACACGAGGTGTCATCCCGCTCGTGAAATATGACGCGATGGTAAGAGCAATCACCTGCTTTCAGAAATCGCTCGACCTTATTAACAACGCGAAAAGCACTTGTCACCATTTCGAAAAAATTGTTCTCGATTCGTTAAACCGTCAAATAAATGTCAAATATGTCTAAACTGAATATATATTTTTGGACAAAATTAACGCATATTTTTTTCTTTCGCTTTTTCTTTAAAAGCTGATATTTAAATTTTAACGAGAAATTTTAAAGAAAAAGTGAAAAAAAAAATTATGCGTTAATTTTGTCCACGAGTATAGTTGTCTCTAAAAAGCAAGAGATAATTCTTACGCATTTTCATTAATATAATAATTCAAAATAATCATTTTTTTATAACGTTTATTTTTTAATAATTCACGAATAATGAAACAAATTTGACGAGAGGGAGGCAAAACGATATAGTCGCATTTATCAACACCTGTTTACAATTTGTTCGTGTATAATCGTACAAAAGGATTCGCCTAAACGTTAAATTCAAGATAAATTATGCCAATTTCTCACCGACATCATGGATCACCGCGACTATGGAATTTCGCCGCGATTGACCAGCATGGTGTTATTGACCGGTGCTAATTCTCGCCGTCAATTCGCCACTAAAACACATCGTGATCCTCGCGGAAATGGCCCGGAGAGTGACGATCGAACAAAAGGGGGCGGAAGGGGACAGCGGGGGCGACGCAAATTACCGCCAACCATCGGGACGGTATATGTCTCCGTTCGACATCGGGATATAATCCGTTTTGATCCGCGAATGCCTCTCGGTAGATCGCGATAACGACGAACGACTATGGACCCCGGACTGGGAAGTTTTGACGCGATTCGCGAGGCGTCCTCGTTTCACCCTCTGTCGACGATCCGGTCAACACTTTCGCCACGTGTCTCGCCCGACGACCACGTAATCTTTTTGCGCGACCCTCTTTCGGTACTCGAAGCATAATTCCGGGGCCGACAGGATATCCTTCGTCGCGTTCTAACTGTCGCGTAAATATGGTCGCCTTTTTTCGGTGCAGCATCAAGCGTTAAGGTCGCCGAAGCGTTGCCGCAACACGGTGAGAATCATCTTCCGCCCCCGTCCTTCGTTTTCTTCATCCCGGCCATCATCCACCCACGTCTACCTTGCGTGTGATATCTATGCAAAATAAAACTTGGGTTTTCCAATACGTTTCATCCGCTTTCATTTTTCCTACGTTTCACGCTATATCGTTGATTACATCGTTCCTCAGTTGCAGCTCGACATCAAACGACGAGCGCGATATAATACATTTCGGAGATATTTCTACAAAATGATCCCTCTCTTCTCTTGTGTCCTTGTGACGATAAAACTCTGCCATATATGTATAGCTATGCATATTATATATAAAACTATATTCTATATCAAACTTTTTCTCTTTACTGCTTTTTGTTTGTTCAAAATGCTCCGAAAATGTGACCGAAACGTTTCAATGAAATATATATATTGGAAGATTTTGTTGTATAATTATTGTGCGCCTGATTCGTACTCCTTTTTCTTGATTATATATATGTGAATTATATATGTACTAAATATTTTAAATAATAAATAAAGTCTATTTAAATCATCAAAATTACTCCAATATTACAAATTAAGTTAATTGAGAAATATTTCCAAAAATTACAATTTTTATATTATCAATATTATGAATAATCAAATGAAAATAATATTATAGAAGTTAAATTCAGTTTAAATCGTAAAACAATTAGTATATAAATTAGTAATTTCAATAAAAGCTAGAATATGTTTTATATAATAAATAATTGATAAAAGAACCGTAGCATATTGTTTTCGAAAAGAAAAAATGAATAAAAGAATAAACAAAAACAAATAAATTAGAAGATTGGAATAAATATTATATAACGATCTCTCAAATATCAAATTCCACTATTCCAATCATATATGCATTCCATAGTATTGATAGCATTCTATAAATTATAATTTGAATGCTTTACAATTTGCAATATTAGAGATATAATTTTAATGACTAGCACTAATTTCATTCGTTATATTATTTAGTATTTTATCGCGAGAGATATTATGCGCAATAATGAGCTGGAATATACACTATTTGGTAAGTTTGTTATCACTAATTACTGTCTCTCTCTCTTTGTACGAGCAACATCAACTCAGTACATATCTAAATATAACCTACAGTTGAACTATTCTAACGATAAATCCTCACAGCTCGTACATAAACTAATTTGTAGAATAAAACAATTGCATATTTTATTATCAATTTGTCGATCAGTTTTTTTAATTTTTAATTTTCTCATAGTATGTTGTTTTGTTTAAAATATCATGGATATATGTGTATATCTGATAATAATTTTTATTATTCCATTATCTCAAAATTATAAAACAAAAAATTATTCAACCACTCACCAGTATGATGTGTAACAGCAGAGTTGATTAATGATGTAATCTGTAAAATTTAAATATATCTAAATTATATATAAAGCAGTGTCTAAAAAATGAGTACTTATGAAGAAATATAATTATTTTGTGCAATGTCACTTTTTAATTGTTCCGTAGATAAATATTTAAGAAAAGATAAATAACAAAAATATTTTAAAATTGATT